GGGATTTCAATCCCACTACAAAAAACGCTTTTACACTCACACTACACGTAAACTTGTTAACGTAAATTGTGAGACTAGTCTTCATGGTATTCTTAGAGTACGGGTTAAAACGCCTGCTAGTTATAACCAGAATCTCTTGTAGGGAGAGCGTGATAATTGTGTATAGATCTATATTAGGATTGAAAACCCAAACCCTTGATTGTTCCCACAGTACGACCGGCCATTCGGGAGTGACAAATGTCATATCTATTTCGACGCCTGAAGAACATCGCGTGCAGGTCATCTCTGTCATAGTATAATTATAGCGACTCACATAGAGAGATATCGACACACATATAGTTTACGAGGATTTCTACTTTAAAAAAGGATTTAGCCATTTAAATTGACATTCATTATTACAAATACGAAATAACATGCATTCACTAGGTCTTGGGATTTAAGACTACATAACATTATTTAAGGAAAATATTGTATTTTTCTTGGTTATACATATCATTTACGAACAAAGGTTTTCAAACTCGGGATACAACACTCGGTTTTATTTTGTCTAATAAAACTACTATACTTTCTCGCACTAACCAGGGTTTTCAAACTGTACATCCAAAAGCTTATGAACTCACCAACTTAATTGTTGACAATCTTTGAAAACTACTTGTATTCTTAGGTAATCAGTAAAACAGGTAACTACCAGCTTTTGAGGATGGAACGCTACGACGTCAAGGAAAACATTTTTGTCATTATATTGTAATCGATTTTGAAACACGTCAACTCGTGAAATCATGTAACTTTCTCGATTATATTTATAATGGTTGTATTTACTTTGAGCACTATTATACTCGTTGTTATGATGCTACACATGATGTCCTCCATCCCCGGACGTTTCCGCCATCCTTGGTTCGGGTGTGACAACTTTACTCCCTTGCCCAGAACCAATAAAATCCTGAGACAAATCAAATATCCCATCAACTAAACCCTTCCTCCTTTTACTCGTATCACCCAACAATGAAGGTTTAAAGTTTATACTATTGATAACAGCTCCAGCCTTCAATTTTGCAGTAGATACATCATTCTCCTTTACAATACACTTCCCTTCAACAATAATCTCCTCCTCCTCACTAGATTCATCAACACATTCCACTATAACACTACCCTTCTCATTTCAGTTAGATTTTTTATTACAGTACGATAGATCAACTTCAATTCCCAAATTCATACCACTTTGTATCTCTTTCATTTTAGCTTCATCTTCCTTCAACTTACTAAGAAATTTAAATCTAACACCATGAACAAATTCTTCACTCATTTCCATATTCACATCATGTTCCTTGAAATTACCCTTATCAACCCCTTCCACCCTAGAATTCTCAACATGACACTTAACAAAATCAGGGCATGTAGGATTAAGGTCAACATTGACAAAAATAGATGGATTAGCCCCTATCATCTGGCTAGTAAGTCGTTTCAATTTTGAATTAGGACTTAAAAAACCCTCATCACCCTTTGGTTCATCCCAATTCTTCAACAGAGTAGCAGTATTACCTAAAGGAATAGAGATGTCATAGATTACATCCATCTTCAATTCACCAGATTCACTAGCTTGGAATTCCTTCAATTTAGCACGATCTCCATACAACGAAATACTAGCATCAGATTCCCAAGAAGATACCGAATCCAAATCACCCTCAGTTTCTTCCTCTGATACATCCTCTTCATAATACACCACCACATCCATAGGACTGCTATCATCATTTCCTATTCGCCATGCTTTCCTTTCAACATAAACCTTACCTTCAGATTTCCATTCCGACTTGCCAATCCCAATAGCCACACCACCTGATGCACTTGGCTTCCTTCTAGTTATATAGATGGTAGAAGAAGTTTGCTCAACCACCCCAGCCGGAACAACCTCACTCAAGTCAACTTCCATTCTTACATACCGAACAACAACACTCTTATTAGGGGGCTTCAATTTCGCATCCTTCAATCGGTCCTTCTTAGAAGAAGCAACCATCAGCACACCAGAAATGGCAAGAGAAAATGGTTCTACAATGTAAAAAGGAACACCGGAGAAGCAGCTCCGGCGAAACACGAACTAGATCGCAATACCGTCAGAGAGAATCACGGGAAGAGAGAGAAAGTAGAATTTCTAACCTTTTTGTAGCTTTACATCCCAATCAATATACCAGTTGCTCACTGGTTTTTTGGTGCTTTGAATTTGAAAACTTTCCAAATGACAATATATGATAGTCATTGGAAGAGCGACTACTTTTCAGAAACCCATGATTGGTTTATTAATATGTGAGACTGCATCCGTAAACTGTTAGTGGATATCAACTACTGGGGTACCGAACCAAGTGATTCAATCTCACTTTAGAGTTTCAATGTGACCCTTGAAAAGTCACCACACGTACCACAACAGATTGACAATAGAGGGGATTGTGTGGTGTTTTTATATTGGTTCATCGAAGCGTTGATCATCAGGAAATCATATTATATATACGATCCAAGGGGTACATGGCTATGTCATATCGTAAACGACTGACAAAAATATTTTAAAGTACAAGGAATAAGATGGTTTGAACATTGTAATATTACTTCAAACAAATCCCTTTAGTTTATAAATTTATTTGTTTTTGTTGATTTTAAGATTATCAGTTACATTTTATTTAATGTATAAACAAAACTTCCAAAAGAGTAAATTATTGAAATCGTCCTTATGGTTTGGTCAAAATTACATGTTTGGGCCCTAACTTATTTTGCACTCAAATCGTCCCTGTGGTTTGATTTTGTTGCTCTTTTTGTCCCTTACATACATAAACTTAGAGACTAAACGTGTAATTTTGACCAAACCATAGGGACGAAAAACGCAACAAAATCAAACCACAGGGACAATCCGAGTGCAAAAAGAAAGTTAGGGACCAAACATGCAATTTTGATCAAACCATAAGGACGATTTCAGTAATTTACACAAATAACAATTTAAAACAAAATAATAAAAATAAATAAATAAAAGTCTATGCTAACATTTTTAGTGCCAATAGCATTAACAAGGTTTGATATAGAAAGAAACTATGCTAATATTTTTGGTGTCCAGGAGGTCTTCCGGAATCATACTTTAGTGTTTCGGAGGCCTTCCGGAATCTAACCCTTAAAAAACGGGGGGGGGGGGGGGGGGGGGGGGGGGGGGGAAATTGTTTCGGAACCATGATCCGGAATCATACTCCATAATTCAGGAGACCTCTCTGGAACAATGTGTTCCAGATAGTTACTTAAAAAAATTTATTTTTATAAAAATCATTTATTAAGATCAAAAGACTCAATTTTCCTTTTTTGTTTAATATATTTTAATGGGTTATTGTAGTTGGTCGTTGGGATTCATGTCACCTCCAACTTTTTTAACGTCGGTTAATTTATTTGTGTTATCTTCTTTTTACTTTTATTTGTGTTTATCCAATTTACATATTATATTTACCTTTTACAATTTAATTTTTCCTAAATCAATATATTTATTTATTCATAATAAAAACATAATATATTCATAAACAAAAGATATTGATAATATTTATAGTGATGTGTAATTGTGTATGTAAAGATAGGGAAAATGACTCTTGAGGGTAATTAACTTTTGCGTTTGTACTCATTTGGTCCCTTTTCTTTTTTTGTATTCAATATACCATCGAACTTGTTGTTGGTGTTTACCATAGCCCTTTTGACCGACTTTTGACCTGTGATAGCCGGTCAAAGGGTTATGGTGAACACAAACAACAAGTTCGATGGTATATTGAGTACAAAAAAAAGGAAAGGGACCAAATGGAAACAAACACAACAGTTGGTTACCCTCCTGATTCATTTTCCCTTTACTCATTTACAACAAATCCCACATCATCTCTTAGTGATATTAATGATTTTATGAGATTCATTTTTGCTTCTCTTCAAAACATAACCTACGAAAGGACATTATTCATACATGTACAACTTTGTAATGCACTTGAATATTTATTAGGGGAATCTTGACTAAGCAGACACATTTCATGACTACATTTACATTTGCAATCAAATGATTTATCGTATCATGGATTCTAGACAAGTCTACAAACGAGTGGAATCACAAGTGCTGTGATTTTTGAGTTTACTTAGCTTTAAGATCGAACTCATGGGAAAAGATACAACATCAATATGTACAATATTAAGGTGATGTGTCTACAAAAGCAGCATGATATTGTACATATTGATGTTGTAGCTTATCCCATGAGTTCGATCTTAAAGCTAAGTAAACTCAAAAATCACAACACTTGTGATTCCACTCGTTTGTAGACTTGTCTAGAATCCATGATACGATAAATCATTTGATTGCAAATTTAAATGTAGTCATGAAATGTGTCTGCTTAGTCAAGATTCCCCTAATAAATATTCAAGTGCATTACAACGTTGTACATGTATGAATAATGTCCGTTCGTAGGTTATGTTTTGAAGAGAAGCAAGAATGAATATCATAAAGTCATTAATATCACTAGGAGATGATGTGGGATTAGTTGTAAACGAGTAAAGGAAAAATGAATCAGAAGGGTAACCAACTGTTGCGTTTGTTCTCATTTGATCCCTTTCCTTTTTTTGTACTCAATATACCATCGAACTTGTTGTTTGTGTTCACCATAACCCTTTGACCGGCTATCACGGGTCAAAAGCCGGTCAAAAGAGCTATGGTAAACACCAACAACAAGTTCGATAGTATATTGAATACAAAAAAAACAAAAAGAACCAAATGAGTACAAACGCAAAAGTTAATTACCCTCGAAAATCATTTTCCCGTAAAGATATGATAATAATGTGTATGTAAAGATATCATAAGAATGGATCGTTTCTCATGCCCCTATAGGCCTATATAATATAATTACTCTTCAAAAATTTACCCACCCCATTACGCATCGTTTTCTCTCTCTAAAACTGTATTCGAAAACCTAAGATCCCTATTGTCTCTCCCGATCCCGCTCATCGGCACAATGGCATCATCGGCGCGTGAAGAAAACGTCTACATGGCGAAACTTTCCGAACAGGCGGAGCGTTACGAAGAAATGGTTCAATTCATGGAGAAAGTTTCCGCCGCTGTCACGGACTCCGAAGAACTTACAATCGAGGAACGCAACCTCCTCTCCGTCGCATTCAAGAACGTCATCGGCGCCCGCCGCGCTTCGTGGCGTATCATCTCATCGATCGAACAGAAGGAGGAGTCTCGCGGCAACGCCGACCACGTATCTGTGATCAAGGACTACAGATCGAAGATCGAGAAGGAGCTTTCCGACATTTGCGATGGGATTTTGAAACTGCTCGAATTGAGACTCGTTCCATCCGCCGCCTCCGGTGATTCGAAGGTGTTTTATCTGAAGATGAAGGGAGATTACTATCGCTACCTCGCTGAGTTTAAATCAGGCGCTGAACGTAAAGAGGCCGCAGAGAACACTCTCACTGCCTATAAGGCCGCTCAGGTTAGGATATTACTTTTCACATCGTAGAGAAATTACTCCCATGGAGTTTATCCCCATCGATTATGCGTCAAAGATGTAGATTTGCATCCAAAATTTCGAATCATACCTGACCTACTTAACTGTTAGAATTCCTCTTAGGAGTAGCTGCTAAGAAACATTAAGATACGGTTTAATTACCTTTCAATTTTCAATGCTTCCATGAATTTGTTTTCAAATTCTGAATGAAAGTTGTGTATGTGTCGATAATTTCAAATTTTGCAGGATATTGCTAACACTGAACTTGCATCAACACACCCAATCCGACTTGGACTTGCTCTTAACTTCTCAGTCTTTTACTATGAGATTTTGAACTCACCAGATCGTGCCTGTAGTCTTGCTAAACAGGTAAACACAATTGAAAATTCATTCTTCATAACCTCTATACAGATTTTACGATTACTTCTATTGATTTGTTTAAGTAAATAAGAGGGTTTCTGAATTTGAAGATGGATTAACATTTTGTATAAATTTGAAGGCCTTTGATGAAGCAATTGCTGAGCTGGACACATTAGGAGAGGACTCCTACAAAGACAGCACTTTGATCATGCAACTCCTTCGTGACAATCTTACATTGTGGACCTCTGATATGCAGGTATCGATATTTATAAATTAAATGTTGTGTAGATAAATGATTTTTTTTTTATTCTTACATTAAAAAAACAAATTTTTAGCTTAACGATTAAGAATGTCTGAATGAGGTGTTTTTTGGGGTGCAGGATGAGGGAGGAGATGAAATTAAGGAATCAGGTGCTTCCAAACAAAGTGAAGGGGAAAAACAGTAGTGATGTTTTTTTTGATAAAGTTAAGGTTTTTGTTTTGTTTACGTTTTCTATTAGTAGGAATGTGATTGATTTATTTTCTCTTTATTAGGTTCTACTTACTATTACTATTGAATGAATTTTCAATGCTCAGTTTTGTCATGTCACATGTGATGATTTCTTGTTGTTATTGAAGTTAGCTGAATGAGTTATTGATTTGCATTGGCTACTCTAATTAGGTTTATTTCCTTTGTTGTTAAATCATGAATCAATATCAGTATTGAGTAATATGACTCGATTAATATTTAATAGGCTATAATTGCCATTTTCCAAGAGTATCACTAAATAACCACATATATAGTTCGTGAATAGGTTTTTGAATTTGTGAATAAGACCAATGATTCAACCCAATATATCACATAAAGCAACAATTTTGGTTCCTCAAGAATTAAAAAGTGTTCAAATATTAATAGTTTTAAAAGGTTATTTAGTGGGAAAGGTTTATTCTATACTTTGAAAATAAAGATAAGTATATTGTTTACCAACTAAATCGTTGATAAAACATATTTCAAAATAAATATATGCTTATAATCCTAAGAATTATATGATTAAAGGTTATGTATTGAAAGTTTAAAAATTGTAAATCAAAACTTATAATAAAAATTTAAAATTAAGGTTTTATAATGTATAATTCAATTCCTTAAAATTTAAGGAGGCTTCCAAGATAACCATGTTTTTTTTTTTTTTTTTACCGATGGCGTCTACAAATTATCTTTTATTTAGTCATTTGTTGTGGAATTTAAGTCCAAAAATTAATGTCAAAATGATAGTTTGAAACCTTATAATATAAGGGTGTATAATTAGTTCATAACAAAAGTCAAGTGCAGTTGTGTATTTTTCTTTCTCTTGGGTACCCATCTCTTTAGGAACATAACTGTGTTTGGTATTTTTTTCTTGTCTTCTTTCGTGTATTTTTTCTTGTCTTCTTTCGTGTGTTTGGTGTTACAAATTTGGGTGGGGGGTGAATTTTATGTTGGCGTGTGTCTTTCTCTCTCTTTCGATCTGTTTCTTTTCGCAGGGCCTCAAATCTGGATACTTCTTGGTTTATGCTGCATAAATCCCATTAATATCCGAATATGCCCACTTGGAGAATCTCCTTGAAGACAGCCTCGAATATGTCAGCCAAAGATTGGATGTATCTCATTTTCCCAGAGGAGTACGAAGTAGGTTAGAGCTTACTGCTGTTTGGGGTACCCTTCATGGCGGCTCTAGAAGCACCGGATTGAAGCACTGATATTTTGCCCGTTACGCCCTGTTGGTGCTGCCTCATTCAAAGGTTAAAGATACCTCAGACATAGTAGTTCCCATCTGGTCTTCCAGTTAGTCATGTGTTTCGGTTCACTACTCAAATCTCTAGTTCATCATTAGTTTATCTAGTTTAGTTCATTTCAATTTTCCATTCTAATTTAATGCTCTGTATGTACTGTTTTGTCCAACTTCCTGCTGGCTTTCTTTAATGCAATTTCCTCTTTACCGTTCAAAAAAAAAAGTCAAAAGATGAACAATTACAAAATTTGTGACCTAGAATTTCCAAGTTATGCCTTTAACTATACTTCCATCTTCTAATATGAGTACATTCAAAACAGTAACATTAAGCTTGGAAAGCCCTAATAGTAATTCAGAATAGTAACATTAGGTTTGGAAAGCCCTAGTAGTAACCCAGAGTTTGACTTTTGAATGTAATCGGATAAACCAATTCTAAGGTCAAACTCCAAAAATATTTTACAAAACCATTTGTGAATAAGTACATGAGGATAAGAAGAAATACTAAAATAGTAACAATTAATTTTAAAACCGATCAAGCATGCAGTGCACATGCATCTACGATTCCAACCTAACTTCTCTGCTCTTAAAACTTGTCTTTTTCATTATAGGGTAACAATGATTCAATGTCATAAATTACGTAGCCGCATCACACCAAAAATGTAACGCCAGCAGATCTAGGCTAGTCAATTTAGAGGCAAAAGGGATCGAAAATGACTTTTCGACAAAAGATTATTTAGAATAAATCATCTTAACCAAATTATAGAATATGTCACAAGGTTTCCATACATATAAAGAACGCCGAAATCCGAGTTATAACGAAGAAGTTATGGCCCGTCGAAGTTTTATGGCAAAACCGGCACGGCACCGGGAAGCGTAAATAGTGAATTTACGATAGAGCGAGATTTATCCTTAGCAATCTAAAAGAAAGTCGTAGAATATGTTAAACTAAGAGCGTCGATAAAAAGAACGCCCAAATCTGACTTCGTATGAGGAAGTTATGATTTTTCTAAGATTCGGTTTAGCAGTGCACGGCCCGAAACTCGAATTTTAGTTCGAGCAGTTTTTGGCTTACGTGACCTAAATGAGAGTTGAATATCTCATTAATAGGAACTCAACGGTAAAAAGACAGACGAAAACGGAGTCTGTATGAAGGAGTTACGAATTCTTCGCGGTCATTTAACAGTCTAAACGCCTCGTACTGTTAAATTTAAGATCGGTCAAGAATTAGCCGACGGAGTCAAAATGAAAGATGTAGATATTATTTTTACCTACGCGTGGTTATAAAGAACATCAAAAACTGAGGTCGTATGTGAAAGTTACGGATTTTAGAAGTTGGAAGCGTGCTGTGCGAAAATGGGTGATGTGGCACAATTTTGGCCATTGCTTTCTCCCCAAGTCTTGCCACTAGATGGTGACATGTGGCACCAAGTTCAGCCATTTTCACCCTATAAATACCACCTCTCCACCCTCATTTTCTTCACACCTTTCCATTCTTTCTTCTCTTTACTCTCTCTCTAGAACCTCTCTCTAGCCCCGAAATCCGAAAAGCCTAGGGAACTCCCTAGCACGAGGCGGAAGCCCCGGAGTGCTCGACGGCTCCGAGAAGAAGAGCTTTTCGGCTCGGAAACGCTGCTCCAAGCAAAGCCTGGTTTTCTATAAAACCCGTGTAAGTGAGCTACGCCTCGCTATTTTTAATATAGTTTTATTTAATTATATTAACGTTATTAAGAACATATAATAATACTTTGGCTATTATTATGGGTTATATAAGTATTTTTTAACGCTTATATAATAGTAATAATAGTTAGACTATTAATTAGTCTCGGCGAATAATAGACTAAAATCTATGGTGAAAATACTAGGTTTCGTCGAAGGAAATTATTTTAAAGTAAACGAAGCGTTGTCCGAGTACCGAGTCACCACCTTCTCAGGTGAGTGCATGGTCTCTTTCATCTTACACATAGATATGAAGTATTTATTATATAATTTACGTGTTGTGAGTGCATGGTCCCTTTCATCTTACACATAGATATGAAGTATTTTATTATAAATTACGTGCTATGTGTGCATATTGTCTGAATACTTGTTGTCTATGCTGATGAAAGATTTTTATACATGTTTTAAATGATGTAAACTGTATAAAGTATTTTATATCTACAAAATATGTTGGGTAAAACATGGGTAGATGAATAATGAGCGATAAAAGTTGATATAGAGGAACATTAGTAGCATGGACCTAGTGCCCTATGGGTATACATTGGCAGCAGTGGACCTAGTACCCTATAGATGAGCACTGGCAGCTACGCCACAACCCGTAGATGTTTTAGATCTACGGTAAACGTCCTAGCAGCTGCGCTCTAAGGACAGTATCGGCAGTTGCGCCTAATAGGGAGCCTTATGACCATGACAGTAGCGTTTAAAGGTCAATACCGGCAGAAGCGCCTCATAGAAAATGTCCCAATTCTGGCAGTTGCGCCTAAGTGACAAGATTAGTAGCTGCGCTTGACCAATATGTCATTGGCAACAATGGACTTCATGTTGTTTCCTTAGGATGATCCTTAGGAATGAATGAATGAGAAATAGCTGATTCTTAGGGTAGACCCTTAAGAATAAAGAAGATACTGGGGATGGGTAATTGGGTTGATTGTTTGATTGTTTAAACATAATAATTATATTATTGTGGGTTGAAAACTCTATGTACTCACCAGGTTTCTTCAACCTGACCCACTCAGTTTATTTATATCACAGGTGTTGATATGAAGTCACATTACACTGAGAGATTTAAAGAAATGTAGATCACTAGTGTAAATAAATGTAAGTTCTGTTTATGCTTATGTTTCTGTATTAACGATGTCATCCCAAACGTTTTGAAATGAATAAAATACTTTTCTTCGAAAATGTTTTAATAACGTATTTATCATGTTTTTCTGGGAACAAATTCCGCAACATTTTATTAAAAGAAGTACTCTGATTTTTATAAAGCATATACAAAAAAAAAAAAAAAAAAAAAAACAAAAAAAAACAAAATCGGTCTTTTCTGGCCGTGATTTTGGGGATGTCACAGTTGGTATCAGAGCATTAGTTTAAGCGAACTAGGAATATGGATTTATTTCTAGACTTAAACTTAGAATGCTAAGCGATGATTGTGAGGTGTGAGCACTAGATTATTTTAGAGATTGTGCCTAAAGTGCTTCTATGTGCTAAATGCTTGTGCCTAATATGTTGTTATTTATTCGGATCTATGGTCTATTGCCGACCGGATCTGGAAAGCTTATGTGTTTAGGATTCTAAGCGTTTAACTACGATATTAGAACTAGCATATAAATGTTTCGGAGTGATAAGGATGATTTAACCGTCAATCCTAAGTAAAGTTCTAGATTCACCTTATTAGGTGAATAGATCAAGATGGCAAGAACCCGTAGCGGAAACATGAATGCAAATGGGAACCGAAACCAGCCCCCAGTGATTGAGCAAATACCGGTTGTGGTAGCCGCTGCTGAGCCAATAACGATGGCCGGAGTGCAAGCAATGATCCAGGTGATGTTGGATCGTCAAATGGAGGAAACCATACGTTTGCTCCAGCAAAATCGAGAGGAAGCAACTATTCAGATCGAACGGCCCGAGTTGAATGAAGGGCAGACTGAGAAGGAGAACTACAGTGGGACTGTTGGTCAAGTCAACCCACCAATAGTTCGACAAAACAACCACGACGACGAAGTCGAGAGGAATGGATGCAAGTACAAGGATTTTCTGACTTGCAAGCCATCAACTTTCACTGGAAAGGAGGATCCGATCGGGGTCATCGATTGGATTTCGGAGATGGAATTAGCTTTCATGACGTGCGGTTGCAAGGGAAAACCACAGACCACATTTGCAGTGCGTCAGTTTCGAGGAGG